CTGACCTGAGCTGAAATCAGAGTTGGATGCTTACTGACTGAGCCATCCAGGTGGCTTATTTTTACTGGTATTTTTTATTTCTTCATGTGGATTCTTGTTTTTGTCTAATATTCTGTCATGTTAGCTTGAGGGTCTTCCTCTAGCATTTTTTTTTTGTAGGGCATATTTGCTAGTTTGGTTATCTAGTAAAGTTTTATTTTCTCCTTCATTTTTGAAGGATAGTTTTGCCAGATATAGAATTCTTGGCTGACAGTTTTTTTTCCCTTTCAACACTTTGAATACGTCATCTATTGGTTTTGGCTTCCATGGTTTCTGATGAGAAATCAGCTGTTAATAATTTTGGAGCTTTCAAGATTTCCCAGACAAATCTCAATTGACCTATGTTTGAGTTTGCTGATTATTTCTTCTGTTCAAATCTGCTGTTGAGCCCTAGTGAATTTCTCATTTCAATTATTGAACTTGTCAACTCCAGAATTTCTATTTGGTTCCTTTTTATAATTTCTGTCTCTTTATTGATAGTCTCTATTTAATGAGACATCATTCTTATGCTTTTTAAAAATTATTTAGACTGATTTCCTTTAGCTCTTTGAAGAAACTCACAATAGGTGATTTAAAGTTTTTGTCTAGTAAATTCAACACCTATATTTCCTCAGGGAAAGTTTCTATTGATTGCTTTTTATCCTGTCTTTAGATCATACTTTCTTGTTTCTTTGTATGCTTCATAATTTCTTGATGAAATTGGACATTTTGAATAGTATAATGTGGCAACTTTGGAAATTCAATTCTACTCCCTCCCCAAGATTTCTTGTTTCTATCTGTTGCAGTTATTTTTTTTTATTGTTTAGTTATTTTTCTGAACTAATTTTGTAAAGTCTGTATTCTTTGTCCTATGTGGCCACTAGACTCTCTGTTCCATTTGCTTAGTGGTCGGCTAATGATTAGACAGAGATTTCCTTAAATGCTTTGAACCAAAAAAATCTCATAGTCTTCACAGAGGGTCTCTGTATTAATTGGGGTATGCATTCAATACTTCTCTGAACAGCTGACAACTCTGCCTTCACTCTCTCCTTGAACTAGTTTCAAAGGTAGCCAGAGGTGAGAGTTTAAGATATTTTCAGGTCTTCTCCAAGCATGCCTACAGTCCTGGGTGTATGTGTGGACTTCAAGATTCTCAAGATATTTCAGAATTTTTCAAAGTTGTTACTTCCAAAAGCATTTCATGCCCTAGCTTTTCCTTCCAAGCTTTTTGGTTAGTCTATTGTTTGCTCCAAAAGTTATCTCTTGCCTCTGACAAGAGCCACTAACACATTTACCTATAAATGTTTTCAATAAATGCACCATCCTCAACCTTCTACCCCTATGTACTACCCATGGCAGTTTTAGCATGGGGCATATTGTGAGTTAGGTAAGTTAAAGACAAGCCTTTTGAGCAGCCTGGTTAAAAATAATAATAAGTCCTTACAAATAAGGTCTATTCTTCTCCCTCTTGTACCAGTACTGAGAATACAGGCTGTTATTTTCAAGTCTACCACTGATTTGAGGGGCAAGGATGAGACTAGTGTAAATTAACATGCCACAAAGCTCATTGTTCTTACCAAAAACCAGCCCCCCCCCCTTTTTTTTGAATAAGCACTCTCTGGATTGCTACAAGCTTTTGATTAGTTTCTAAAGTTCAAAAAAGTTAATTCTGTCATTTTTTCCCAGTGTTTGCTGCTGTTGTTGCTCTTATGAAAGGTGGACGTTTGGAGTTCCTTACTTAACCATTTACACTGATATCACCCCCAAAACATTCTCTTTTGTAACTATATTTGTATTGTAATTTCATATTTTTTGGAGATCTCCCAAATTATATAAGCATAAAGCCAAATAAAACATGGATCTGCCCTTATACATGACAATGAGCAATTGTGAATAAAGTCCTTCAGAGAAAGGAGGCAGGATTATAGAAGGGAGAAAACATATTGAGATGAGGGGACTCCAGAGGGATTTAAAATAAGTCTTCATAGGGGAGTTATATTTTCATAGGCAGAGATGTGATGTGGAAAAACTGGAAAAATATTATAGGCCAAGAAAAGCAAAAAAATTTAGATTATGGGAAAGCTGACATAGTATTTGGGAAGAGGAATGGATCCACTTTGACTTGGGTGACAAATGTTTAGAGAGTGGTGAGGGAGATAAGGCTGAGGAGGTAGGTCAAGGCCTCAAATGCCCATATTAGAGAGTTATATAGCAAATCTTATTACCAAAAAATAATTTGTATTTACTCTACATCTTCTTTTACCCTCAGGTTAGAACCTCACAGTCTATTCTGTAAATATCAGTGTGATTTATCTTGGCATACACCTCTCTTGTCATCTGCAAGCCATATCTTACTCAGTATTCCATACCCTTAAATAACACAGTTGTGAGAAAGTTATTAAACCTTATTGAACCTAAACATATTTTAAAAACCTGTATGTCTGAGAGAGATCACATTCCAGAGGCTCATTCATCACCTCCTTGGATACACTTTTAAGTACTGGGCATCCTGATTTCAGAGTCAAAACAGACCATGACTAAGAAAGAAGAAAAAGGTGTGTGTGTGTATATGAGACAGAATTAGAAGAAGCAGTAGAGAAAATTGCTCAAAGCCAAAAGGAAAAGGAAACAAAATTCTTAGGTCTAATTTTTGGAACTTGTGAGGCTTTATAATAGCTATTCACTTCTAATCATCCTCAAATAATAAATGAATAGAACAGTCAATGTTATTAGAATAATTTATTATTCATCAAGAATAATAAATGAGGGGAATAGGTTGTTATTCAAATTTCTCTAAAATAGCAAAGAAGAAGGAGGAAGAAGGAGAATTACTACTGTTTTTCAGTCTGTCAACAACTTGTGCAGTGGTGGCAGCATTGCTGGGACACTGGGGGTGGTATAAGAGGAGATGGAGCCAAATGTGCTTACAGTCAGTGCCTCTGGCTTGGCTAGACACCAAAGTCAGCTGAAATAATGATGAATTCTCCTGCTTATTCCAGCTCTAAATAGCAAAAGACTTTCCTGCTTTACTAATGCTTTGCCCCCAATGGGTTGCCTCTTCCTCTCATTAATCTTTAGTTTATGAACTCTATTGGCAAGAGGTATACAAATCATCCACAAATCACACACAGAGGTGGATGGTGTTGACAGCTCCTGACATGTAGGGCTGTTCATTCATTGGCAGTAGTTCTGAATCAGCATCAGCCTCTACATCACTAGTTTAGTCACACAATGCAGATGTGATGCAGATGTGATTTGGTCGTGTTCTTTATCCATAACTGCCTTCCAAATACTCTCAATAAAAATAAGGAGTGGGGATTAGTAGTGGGGCACAATATTGGGCATGGGAATAAAAGATAAAAAATAAAGACTAGTCTCCCATCAGTCCACCTACAGGTCTTGAATTGTCATTAACACCATCAATTGGCTATTAGTGGCAGCCTGCTGATGTTGCTGAGCACCAAGCTGAACCCTCAGCAAGGAGCTATTCTAAATACATCTTTTGCTACCGCTAGTGAAGAGCCTGAGAATTCACACAGTTCATGAGGGAGTGTGTTCAAGATAATCCAGAACCTGCATCCATCTCCCTCTTGGAACTTGGCTTTGTTATTGGAGCCAGATCATCAAGTTAGAGTCCATCAATATTGATGGTGAGTTTCCTATCAGGGTCACCCTAACCAATCACTGTAAAAAAAATAATTAAACTTCCCCTAGGGCTAATGAAGTTCTAAACTGGGATCTAAGTTCTTTTATACCAAATAGGCTCCTCTGCACAATAAAATTTGGTAGATTTAATTTATAGGAAATAGATACCACCCAGTTCTCTTTAGCAAATCCCCCCAAATGGAAGGGGATTTGTTGGGGGTGGGGAGTTGACAGCTTAAGGCATCTCTAAATGTCATGTTACTTAAGTGAAATTTCTATATGGCTTGTACTAGTTTGAAATATATGTGGTTGAATATTTTAAAAAGTAGGTAAGTTTATCTTTCTAGCACAAAGGATAGAGTTGCTAGATAAAACACAGGACATCTAATTAAATTTAAAATTTAGATAAACAATAAATAATTTTTAGTATAAGTAAGTCCCCAATATTGCATGATACATACTTATACTAAAAGTTTATTCATTGTCCACCTGAAGTTCATATTTAACTTAGTGTCATATATTTTGATTTTCTAAATCTGGCAACCCTAAAAAGAGGACTATATCATACAAGTATCCTCTCAATTGTGGAAGAAATGCTGCTATGTACATATGATTATGGATAAGTGTACCTTGTGGAATTGCTCATGAACTTGTTACTGAACATGTGAAAAGGCAATGCTCTAAATCCTGTTAAACTGTTATTAACATGTGACTTATATTGTGAATAAAACACCAATAAATATGTATTGTGCTAAAATAAATAGCATACACAAATGGTTCCAAACACAATATCACTTGATTCCTAATGCCATAATCAAATGGTTTCATGCAAATGAAATGGCTCTGGTAGTTATCAGTGTAATGATGCTGTGAAACAGCCCTACTGTCAGGTAACCTTATCTCTTATGCACTTTTCAAAATGCCTAAAATGTCACACTAAAGCACTTTTAAAATTAAATAATGCCTTGCTATTTCTGAGGTGAGATGCCTGCTGAGTTTAAATCATTAAAAAAAAATAAAGAAACGTTAGTAATTTTTCTGCAGAATTAGGTAGTTAGTTATCTGATTCTGTGAAAGAAATACATTAACATATTTTAGGCTAAACTAAGCATTTTGGTAAATGTTTAGTTAAAATAATCAATATTTCTAAACAAAATGATCATTCCAAAGATAAGTCAAAGGTTGAGCTTCAGAGGCTGAATCTCTATGTATAAATATCCAGGAGATCTTAAAATAAACAGAGTAACCATTGCATACTGAAGAGTTTTCTACTCTTTTTTGTTCAGCAATACTGATGTTTTCCTGTCAGGCTCTAACTCCTTGAATCTCTTACCCACCTTATTCTCCACCTGGGGCCACTTGATATCTTCTTATGCACTCCATATCAGTCTCGATATCCAGGTGCACTCCACATCAGTCTCAAGTGCCACAATCCCAGTCTAAGGCAAGAGAAATTTAAGGAAATCTGGCCAGTATTTGGTGATTTTGTATCCCCTCACCATCACACCTGCCCATCCCTGATCTCATGCCCCATAAAACTTACTAGGTTTAGCTGTACCAAACTATGACTGGTTTGGCTCCCAGATATAAGACTCAAAGTAGGTGTCTATCTACACCTTATCAATAGGTGGTTCCTTGAGTTGCAGCATTCAAAGTGATTTTTACCCAATTACTTCTTTTCCTATTCAAGTAAAGTTCCTATAATTTAGAGTAAGATGACAATAGCATGGGGTGGTAAAAAGAAGGCACATGGGAAGTTTTATAGCTCTAATTTTTATACATTGGATTATCAGATTAGCTAGTTGCAATCTTGATATATACAAGAAAGAAAACCTAAGTTAAAAAAGAATAAATAAAAGCAGATCAAGTGAGTTCAGTTGGGTATAGAGGAAGAGAAAGAAGATAGAACACTGTGTGGAGCTCAGAGCGTTATGAGACTAGGAGGTATGTTGCAAAAGGGAAGGCTTTGGGATATGGTATTCCATCGAATGTGTAGGAAGAAAGCACCAAAGCCAGTTTTTCTCTTTTACTCATTTTTCCTTGAACTAGCTGATTTTTCCCATGGTTATGGGTCACATTTTCCTACTTCCTTGCAAGTATAGTACTTTTAAAAAATTACAATTGTAAATGTTACAATATCCAGTGTTTGGATTTTGTTGTCTTCCTTTTGTTGCCTAGATTTTGTGTCTGGATTCTGTTGCATTCTTTTATTTTTTTAAAAATTTTTAAATTAAATTAAATTAATTAATTTATATATTTATTTATTTAATTTAATTTTATTATGTTATGTTAGTCACCATACAATACATCATTGGTTTTTGATGTGATCCACGATTCATTGTTTTCGTATAACACCCAGTGCTCCATGCAGTGCATGCCCTCCTTAATACCCATCACTGGGCTAACCCATCCCCCCATCCCCTCCCCTCTAAAAGCCTCAGTTTGTTTCCCAGAGTCCATAGTCTCTCATGGTTCATCTCTCCCTCCGATTTCCCCCCCTTCATTTTTCCCTTCCTTCTCCTAATGTCCTCCATGCTATTCCTTATGTTCCACAAATAAGTGAAACCATATGATAATTGACTTTCTCTGCTTGACTTATTTCACTTAGCATAATCTCCTCCAGTCCCACCCATGTTGATGTAAAGGTTGGGTATTCATCCTTTCTGATGGCTGAGTAATATTCCATTGTATATATGGACCACATCTTCTTTATCCATTCATCTCTTGAAGGGCATCTCGTCTCTTTCCACAGTTAGGCTATCGTGGACATTGCTGCCATGAACATTGGGGTTCATATGGCCCTTCTTTTCACTACATCTGTGTCTTTTGGGTAAATATCCAGTAGTGCAATTGCTGGGTAATAGGGTAGCTCTATTTTTAATTTTTTGAGGAAACTCCACACTGTTTTCCAAAGTGGCTGTACCAACTTGCATTCCCACCACCAGTGTAGGAGGGTTCCCCTTTCTCCACAACCTCTCCAACATTTGTTGTTTCTTGACTTGTCAATTTTTGCCAATCTAACTGGTGTAAGGTGGTATCTCAATGTGGTTTTGATTTGAATTTCCCTGATGGCTAATGATGATGAACATTTTTTCATGTGTCTGTTAGCCATTTGTATGTCTTCTTTGGAGAAATATCTGTTCATGTCTTCTGCCCATTTCTTCACTTGATTATTTGTTTTTTGGGTGTTGAGTTTGAGAAGATCTTTATAGATCTTGGATACCAGCCCTTTATCTGTAGTGTCATTTGCAAATATCTTCTCCCATTCTGTGGGTTGCCTCTTTGTTTTGTTGACTGTTTCCTTTGCTGTAAGAAGCTTTTTATCTTGATGAAGTCCCAAAAGTTCATTTTTGCTTTTGTTTCACTAGCCTTTGGAGATGTATCTTGAAAGAAGTTGCTGTGGCCAATGTCAAAGAGGTTACTGCCTATGTTCTCCTCTAGGATTTTGATGGATTCCTGTCTCACATTCAGGTCTTTCATCCATTTTGAGTTTATCTTTGTGTATGGTGTTAGAGAATGGTTGGGTTTCATTCTTCTGTATATAGCTGTCCAATTTTCCTAGCACCATTTATTGAAGAGACTGCCTTTTTTCCATTGCATATTTTTTCCTGCTTTGTCAAAGATTGTTTGACCATAGAGTTGAAGGTCCATATCTGGGCTCTCTATTCTGTTCCATTGGTCTATATGTCTGTTTTTGTGCCAGTATCATGCTGTCTTGGTGATCACTGCTTTGTAATATAGCTTGAAATTGGGCAACATGATGCCCCCAGCTTTGTTTTTTCTTTTTCAACATTTCCTTGGCAATTCGGGGTCTTTTCTGATTCCATACAAATTTTAGGATTGTTTGTTCCAGCACTTTGAAAAATGTCATTGGAATTTTGATCGGGATGGCATTGAAGGTATAGATTGCTCTGGGTAGCATAGACATTTTAACAATGTTTATTCTTCCGATTTAACTTTATTTTATTGCATTATGTTATGTTATGTTAGTCACCATACAATACATCATAGTTTTTGATGTAGTGTTCCACGATTCATGAAAGAGTGTTAAGATTTGTCTGCCAGGGCATGAATTTATTTGTAGATTAACTTGACAATTTTTTTATTTTATTATGTTAATCACCATATATTACATCATTAGGAGGCTTATTTTCAAGCTTTGTTTAAGCAAGTGTAGAGTAGCCTTTCCTCATGGACTAGTTTGGCACTACTCCTAAAGCCTGACCTCCTGAGTCTGTACTGACTATACCTGCTATTCAAGGAGGTCTGTACACTCTGGTCAATCAAGACAATTATGTGCAGGCTCAGATAATTTCCAGCTTATGGAAGTACTGTTCTTTCCTTGGTATTTCTTGTTTCCCTAGCTTCATGGAGTCTCACCTTATACATGTCACAGTTTAGTATTTGGCAAAAGATTTAAGGGCATCCTTATTTAGGTTTTTGGAACTCTTTATCTTGTACTCTTCCATGCAAATCTAGTTATCTCTGCCTCCCCAACCTTTGATATGCCTCCTCAGCCAAGAAGCATTCCTTCACCCATCCAACAAATATTGATTGTGTACCTATCCTTTGCCAGGCATAGTGTTCCAGATGCTTGGAAATATTAATGCAAAAACATACAAAACCCTAATTTTAGAGGACAATCATGTTTGCATATGTGGGAGACAATCAATAGAATGAAAACAATAAATAATAAAAATGTAAATCATACAATATGTTAGAAGATAATAATCTCCATAGAAAACAAAAGAGAGCAGTTACAAGGCATCAGGCTATGGGAGACTGAAATTTTAAATAGGTGGTGAGGGTAGACAACATTAAAATGTGACTTTTGAATAATGACTTAAATAAGATAAGGGAATTAGTATGTGAATATCTAATAGGAAAGATGAAGGAACAGAGTAGTGCTCTTGGAGTTTTGAAGGATAAGCAAAGATGTAACTGTCTAGAATTGAGTGAGCTATATAAGGCCCTTGTTATCCATTATAAGGACTTCAGTTTCAACTCTCAGTAAGACAGGAAGCCATTGCAGAATTTTTAGTAGATATAATTTTATTTACATTTTTAAATGTATATGATATAATTTGATTTACATTTTTGAAAAATATTTTATTTATTTGAGAGAGAGAGAGAGAGAGAACATGAGGTGGGGCAGAGGGAAAGGGAGAGATTGAACTTTAAGCAGACTTCCACTGAGCATGGAACCTGATGCAGGGCTCAACGTGGGGCTCAATCTCACAACCTATGAGATCATGACCTGAGTGGAAATCATGAGTTGGACATTTAATCAGCTTAGCCACCTAGGTGCCCCTAATTTGATTTACATTTTAAAAGAAGCACAGCACTCTTGCTGCTCTCTTATATGTGCTCTCAGTAGAGGCACGAACAAGGAATCAGAGAAACTATTTAGGCTTTTGCTATAATCATGTTCAATGGACAAGTGTGGTGGAAATGGAGATAGCAAAAAGTGGTCAGATTCTGGATAAATATTTTCAAGGTAAAGAACTTCGAATCTTACAAAGTAATGATAGTGAGCATGAAAAAGAGATAAGGAGAAATCTTAAATAAGTCAAAGATTTTGGGCTGAGAAACTGGAAGGATAGAGCTGCCCTCCAACGAGGTAGAGAGGGTTATAAAGAAGGCATATTAGCAGGAAGAATACCAGGAGTTGAGGTTTTAATTGAATTATTAGATTCCTGATAGGTATTCAAATGAATTTTTTTTTTTTAATATCAAGTAGACAGGTGTATATAGGAGTCTGGATTTCAGAAGAAATGTCTGAGCTAGAGATATAAATTTGGGAGTCATTTGAATAGAAATTATATTTAAAAACATGAGATTCAATGATATCACCAGGGGGTGAAATTATGGACAGAGATAAGAAAAAGTAAAAGAACTAAGTTTTGAGGAACCATAACATTAAGAGGTCAGGGAGAAGAAGAAAAAATAGCAAAGGAAATTGAGAAGAAGGATCTAGTGAAACAGTAAAACCAGATTTCCTGGAAGTCAAATGATGATAGTGTATCACAGAGGGAGAAGTGCTCAACTTTGCTAAATGCTACTGATTAGCCACAGGTATGAGGACTGACCATTTGGTTTAGCAATGTAAAGGGCATTTGGAGAAGTGATAAGAGGAGTTTTGATGTAGTGGGGGGGTGCTAAAGTCTGATTGGAGTTGACTGAAGAAGAAATGAGAGCAGAGGAACAGGAAATACTAGTTCAGTAAATTTCATCAAGAAGTTCATTGATCAGAGGGGAGGATGAAGGGATAGTGGCTGAAGGGGAAAAAAGAATCAAAAAAGGATTTTAAGATGAAAAAAATAATAGTAAGATGTCATGCTGATGAGAAAGCTCCAGAAGAAAGGGCAAACTGATAATGTAGAAGAGAAGGAGATTTGGAGCAATATCCTCATGTACAGAGGATGAGATCTACCTACCA